CTAATTTTATTTATTTTGCATAGATGAACTGCATAGTTAATTGTATATTTATTGCATAAAATTCCATTTATTTATGTTGCTTATCAGGTATGAGTTTACATATATAAAATTGTTGTCAAAATAGACATTTATGTCTGTCTGTTGTCATTTTTATACTATCATTTATACCTGGCAGCATGTCTCTTATATCTTCGCTAACTTAAACAGTTTTTGTTTACTGGGAACAATTTATTTGCTCCTGTGGCTTAAAAAAATCAAATTGTAACAAATAATAGTACATTGGTCTTCATTTTCAATCTCGTCTTTTGTGATCATTATTAAATTGCTTAGTTATTAAAACAAAGCCACTTTCTGTCCTGAAATTGGTAATGATCTTGGCCTTTTAGATTGACTTGGGTTTATATAAAGAGGATGAGTTTCTAATCTTGAATCAATTTTGCTTTGTAAAAATTTGTTTTTGTCTCATTAGATTTAATTTTCATCTCCTACACACATTTTCACTTCAAAGATTTACATGAGCTATTATCATTTTCACTGAAACCTAATGTAAATGATCCTTTGCTATAGATCAGTTTGATTAGTTTGTGTACATATTATAACTTTCTTTTCTAAGGTTATTATTATAACACACACTAATACTTGGTATCACGTAATTCATTAAGTATTCCCTATACATAATGCTTAAGCTATTGCCATAATGCATGTATAGTTAGTATGAAGACTGACTCCAATACAGCTATTACTAACCTCATACCATAGAACTCTTTATAATATTAGATGAGTTCATAGTCACAGGGGTGTACTCTTTACTCTACAACATCTCCTCCAGATTTTGAGATTACTACTTTATTAAATATTTTTTATTTAGTATTAGTATCTCCTCATCCTCTTTCTGCAGAGTTTGCCAATGTAGTTTGCAGCTTTTTCTTTACCTTGAACTTGTCTTTATAGGTTCCCAGATTTGTTTTGGTACTGACACATGAAAAATGTTGTACAGCAATTTAACTGGTTCTTCAGTTCTTTCATCAGTGAATTTTTTCTTCAGCTGATTTTGGTGTCTTCTATGTTGAACATTTTTTCTGCTGTTCAACTTTGAAAAAAATTCTTCTGGACTTTGTAAGGAGTAGTACTGTTTTTCAAGACAACTATTTAATCCAGTCGATAAACATATCCAGAGTCATTTCCTTTAGTTTAAATTGTTCACATTCTCTATTAACAGTACCTGCATATGTAACAAACTCTTCATCTTTTTTGGTTAAATTCCTGCACCACCAATGAGCATAGAACAGAGAGCACTTGTCACTAAAAATTTTCAGCAGAATATGTACAGTCTTCAAACCCTATTTTACCTGTTTTTCTTGGAAAAATATAATTACAGTACTTTTTGGTGCTATTTTTCTTAAGAACAACCTGTTTTTTTATCTTCTTCCCAGTCACTGCATTTCTGATTAAATATATTCATGTCTGCAAAATACACAGCAAAAGTCAGTCCGTCATCAGGATTGTATATGAATTCTGATATAGTGTTTTGCATTGCATATGGCATAAGAAACGAAGCATTTTTCTTCAAAACCACATCCAATAACTCTTGTTTTTGAAACTGTAGGAACAGTTGGATATTCTGTTGTTGTTGCTTCTGTTGTTGCATTTCAACTATAGAAGTTAAAATTTTCCCTATATCTGCAAGAAAATTTTTTTTTTTTTTTTTTTTTTTTTTTAACCAGTGTGGTTGAAATTCTTGTAACTCCTGTTGCACATGTATGAGTTTCAAAATATCTGGTCATCCACTATTATAACTCCAGTTATAATGTGGTGCTTGTTATACCGCACTTGTGTTCAAGTTCTTTGCCAACTATTATAACTTCAGTTTTAATGTTGTGTTTTTTATCTCATACTTGTGTTCAAACATCCTCATCAGCAACTATTATAACTTCCTATTGTAAGGTTATTGTTATAATACACACTTGTACTTGGTATAATGTAATTTGTTAAGTATTCTCTATATGTAATGCTTAGGCTATTGCTGTAATGCCTGTATAGTTAGTATGAAGACTGACTCCAATACAACTACTACTAACCTCATACCATCGAATTCTTTATAGTATTCATAGTCATGGAGATGTATTCTTTAATCGACAACAGTACATATGATCATTGTGCTATAGTTAATATTACCTCTCAACTCTTTTGTCCTAAAAAAAATGTCAGGGAATTCTACTGGTGCTAGGGGGTGCTGAAAAATTCTTGGTTTGAACAAGAAGGGATTAGAAGACAAAAATTGATCATTTGGTCAGATTTTGTGATGTGGGTCAGGTCAATAACTTTTCAGTACCTACCTCTTTCTCTCTCTCTCTCTCTCTCTCATAATTATGGACAGGGTTTATTTCATTCTTTATGCCTGAAAATTTCCTGTTGGTAAGTTGTTTATAAACTATGATTTATCTTAGGGATTTGATAAATTTTCTTGAATTGCATGAACATTGAAGAATTAATAAAAACAAAAATAAATTTATTTATCTCTCTTTTCTCATCGCTGTGTAAAAATAATTGGGAGGAAGTTATTATTGGTTAAAGGAAGATTCTAAAAGCATTATGGCACCAACTTTGTTTATATCAATTGAAGCTTTTTTTTTTTTTTTTTTTTTTTTTTTGAAAGGAACTGAAGCCATTATTTTTCAAGAAAGAGACCAAATTGCTGGGAATTTTAGTTTAATAAAAACATTCTTTACAAAATGTGAAAGTTAATTGAATTTGTTTATGTAAATATATTTTGTATTTTGATTGTGAAGCACTTTTTTTTTTTTTCTCTCTTTGTGGGTTACTCTCGACACAGAATTCTCTTTTAATGAACTTTGTTCTTCCTTCCTAAAAATGCCAGCTGGAATTTCTTCAGTTTTAAAGCTTTGCATTTCCAGCTGTCAATTTCTAAAAATATTTTTTTTCATGTGAAAAGAGAAAATGTCAACTGGAATAAAAATATTAATTTGGTCATTGTACAAATTGAAGTTTTGTTTATGTGTAAGTGGTTTTATTATTATAACTATAATTGTAATCTCTGTGTGTGCAAATCTACTTTTCTTTCTTTCATTATTAATTGGGAGCTTAAAGTATCTGTCTGCTATTTCAGAAACTGTCTGGCCAGTCAGCCTGTCTGTCTAAGCTGATATCTTCTTTTTACACTCAGCCTTTTTCTACTCAGCAAAATGCCTCTCTACCTACAACAACCAATCATGCTCTTGCACTTATCAACTAAAAATGTCTGCATACACACATGCACACACTATTTGGATGCAAACAAAGAGACCATACTTGATTTCTGGGCATTTTTTCTTTCACTTCTCATGTGACAGGCATTGACTATCAACCTCCAATGAATTGCTACCATTTTTTTTTTTTTTTTTTTTTCAAAATTTTTAAAGTACAATAAAAAATATAAAAATAAATTACATTTTTGTTGTTCTTTTTTTAAAAAATTTGAAACACTGACTGGTTATTAACTTTGAAGTATCTCTCTCACCATAGACCACATTTATAAAATCTGACCACTTCTGGCATATCTTACCTTTTTATTTTTTTTTATTTTTTCTTCCAATAGTATTTCAAATGTATCTTAATAAATTCCATGCCTTAGTTTTTCCTAAATCATTTGACATTCTTGCATAAAAACACTTAAGTTGATCTTGTGTAATCACAATTCTCTATGAAATGTTCTTTTATCAAAGAACAAAATGCTGAAAGGTTTGGTCAAATCATGTCTCTATATTTTTATCTAGATTCATATTTATGTTGTCTTACAAACAATTAGGAAAACTTTTTTTGAATTTTGGACAGAATCTTTCACTTAAGATCAAATTAGATTTGTTTGTGAAAGATTGACAATTACATTATTTGACCACTAATTGATGTTCTCTCTCTCTCTCTTCATTAAAATATCTACAAGTGCTTACAATGCAAAAGATGTGGAAGTTTTTTGTATGATACTTGTTTTAGAAATTCAAATATTACAACCTTGGAAAAAAATTTAAATGAATTTGTCCTTAGCTTATTTATTGTGGAAAGTATCTATTTGATCAATGCTAATAACATTTATGTAATTAAATGCATTTGATTTGATGATTTAAGGTTTTAAGTTTTATAAAGAATTAAACTATGATGTTAGGCAAAAGTTTTTTCTTTTCCATAAATTATTTTTGTTTTATTCTGTCCAACAATAAATTCAACAAACGGTGGATACTAATAATTATATTACACTTCATATTTGGTTTGGTAGAAGCAAGTTTGTCTCCTGTGGGTAGGGAACATGTTATCTTTAATTTTATGCAGCTTATTTCCAGAAAGCTAAAGTATATTTACAATATTTTTTAAAATACTTATTTCATGACTTCTTTGCATTCTCAGGTTTATTGTTTAGACCGTAACAATTTAGGTGATTGAAACAAAGATTTTCATGGATCAGTAATATTATCTGACAATTATTTTGTGTATCTTTGTTGACTTTACACAAAAATGGTTAAAAAGTGTATTTAAGATTTAATTTTTAATTTTTTTTTTTAAATCCTGAGAAGCAAAATACAATATATACAATGGTCCATCAATAAATGTGTAGCCTAATGATGAAAAAAAGCACTTTACACAATAAGTATTTATTTTTAAACATACTCTCCTTCCTTTCCAATCCGCTTAATTCAGTGGTGGTATATGAATAACATAGCTTATTTCAATTTTCAGGTTAAGCTGTGTATACACACACACACACACACACACACACACACACACACATTCTCTCAAAAATTCTTTATCTAATATATTGGGGACAGAAAAGATTTCACTGAAATTTTATTGGTACAAAGACTTATTTTTGTTTGTTTTTAAAGTACCTACCTTTTGACAAATTGTTTTGTCTTTATTGGATTTGTTAGAGAAATAAAAAGATGTGTGCATTCATGGGCTGTTTTTTTTTTTTTAATTGTCTTTGTCATCCATTTATTTTATCTTTGCAGGTATCAAGCATGATGGCACCATGTGTGATACGTGTCGACAGCAGCCAATTTTTGGCATCCGTTGGAAGTGTGCAGAATGCACTAATTATGATTTGTGTTCTGTTTGTTATCATGCAGACAAACACAACATGCGACACCGTTTCTATCGAATTACCATTCCTGGAAGCGAAAGGTAACTTTTTTTTTTTCTACTGATGGACAGTCTTTTCAGTTATTTATGCTCTTGATATTGAAATTACTAAATTTAGTTTAGTATGGCACAAGCTTAAATGGGATTGAGAAGATTGTGTTTGCAAATTTACTAAATAGTGTTCTTTGAAACTCTGCATTTGAAATCCTAGCTTTTACCTGGGTCCAAACCTCTGAAACCACTTACAATTGGAATAAATAAAACATACATATATATATATATATATATATATATATATATAAGTACTATTAAGCTTAATTTTGCTCTTACGGTTATCAAGCACCCTGTAAGAATCACATGACACTAGTGATTTGCAAGATGAGCTTGCTAACCATCATTCTATATCAGGGGCACACCTGTTTGATAAGCTTCATTATGGTATAAGCCCATAATTTGGATACTCCATGAAGACTAAACTCACTACATCAGAATTGGTGAATGAGACAAGTTTGTTAACCATTATACTATGTACCTTTTTAATTATATCAATGATTCTTAAAAATTTCTTCTCTCATGCCTCTTTTTAGATATTTGTATAGACTAGTGTCCCCTACATTAAAATTGCACAGGTAAATGAAGCAGAGTTTAATGCAATAGAATGAATATCATGTCTTTATGTTTTGTTGCATTATAGCAGTGTCAATCACCAGAAGTAAGCTTTGTCAAGAACAGCCAAGCAGCTATCACCATGTCAGATTACTGAAGCTGCTGCATTTTGCTTTGTAGGTTTTTGCTCCATACATATTGAAATTGAGTCAAAATGCTTTAAATATGTCTAAAATTTAAATGTGTAGACAGAAGATGAACAAATACAAATATAAAATGCCTATTCTATATTGAAAGTGTTGAATAATTTTGTTAAAATCAGTGTGCTCCACTTGAAAAATTCATAGTTCTCCTCTAAGTGGAAGGGGATATCGCTGTCTGCATTGTGAGTTACTGGTTTAGATGATTCTTAACTTATGCAATTCTCTCTAGAGGTGTACATTTTAAAAGTATTATTGTAACCCTGAACGTATTCTCCATTACATTTGTAACGATACCTCATTGCTCACTTAGTGGCTATAATAATTGCATATTTCCCCACAGACGACAATGGCTGATATACAAAAACAAAAAAAGACTGTCCATAACAAAGAAAACACCCTAAAGATTGACCCAATCACAAAAAGATTAGGTTGTACAATGAAATGCTCTACAGTTTACTGAAATTGCCATGAACATGCAGATCATTGGTTTTAAGGGTCAAAGTAGGAAGGAAAGTAAAGGAGAAAAAGAAAATGATTACCAAGAATTTGTCTTGATTCAAGATATTGGATTTATGCTAAAGATTGTTATTCCTAGAATGACTGTCATTGATTTGCATGGGGCTTGTACAAAAGATTCCTCGATTTTTAATGAATTGTGTAGATACTTATTGCAGAATTTGTTTTTCTATACAAGTAGATGGAACAACATTAGACAATTCTTCAGAATTAAAAACTATTGAAACCTGTAATTAAAGTTGTTGAAGAAGCATGTACTATAAGAGAAGCATTCATGTATGCCATGTAAGTGATATGTTACAGTACAGAAAGGAAAATAATGCACAGAGTACATCGATTAATTTTTGGCTTGTAGCACAAGGTTTTGATAGAAGACAAAAATAATGGTAATTTCTAACGAGTAACAAAGGGCTCCAAAAATAAAACCTTAAGGCAAGAAAAATCTCTTATAATTTCATCTTGTCAGGTTTTTAACTTGTTTTGTCCAATCAGGTAATTCATAAAAAAAATATTGGTGTTTTCATGGTTGACTGCCTGCCCGAATCTTTTTTTTTTTTTTTTTGATTTTCTAAGTTTTTCTTTTTGTATTCATATGTAACGTTTCCTTCTCTTAAACTTTTTCATGAACACTCTGTGTATAATAAAAAAAACAAAAACAAACTATCCCAATAATATAACCAATCAACAATCAAATTATCTTGTTCAGTGGCTAGTCAAATGAAGATTTAAAATTCTGATTTTTCAAGGTAAACAAACTTTCCTTTTGTAAAAGTTTGGTTCTGCACAGTTCCTCTTTTCTTTAGCTTACTAAACAAATGCATATAAAGGTATTTTCTCACTAATCTTTTTGTATATATCCATAAAGATTCTGTTATTTTCTGTGTTAGGAGATTTCCTTAATTTGTTACAAAATTTAATGACAAATATTTTTTATTTTTAAGAGCCTTTTAATGTCTGTATGCCAAAGCTCAAAATATGAACTGTTTTTGAAAAGCTTGTTACTATTCAGGAAATTAAGGATGAATTTTCAAAATAGAAAAGGAATGGTAACCAATTCCTGTTTTGTTTTTTTTTTTTTTTTTTTTTTTTTTTGGTGTAAAACAAGTGCTCTATGCTTTCTTTCTTTTTTTTTTTATGTGTGATACATGCACACAAATTTTACACACACACACACATCTATTTTTTTTTTTTTTTAAGTTATTTGCTAAAGACAATGAATTTTTTTTTTAAACTCTATATCTGTTTTACCAGATGGATAAAATAAAATGTTAAATAAGAATTCTCATTAAAGGATGAAAGCAACACTAGATAACATGTTTGTAGTTTATCCATATTTGATTAACGGGTAAGTGTGTTGGGTGATTTTGTTAATGTTTCAATTTATATTCATAAAATTATGAAAGGAAGTTGCATTGAAAGAAATATTAAAATATTAACTATTAGGTTTGTAAAAATGCTTCCAGTAAAAAAAGTTTTTACCTGGGTATTCAGTCTCATTTAAAAATGAATGAAAGCTGGGAATTTCATAAATTACCAGCCATTTTTATTTCTTAATGAAATGTTGACATTCATGTATTTTATCTAGACTCAACTTTCATTCTATTATTTGTTGAATAAGGTTTTTAAAGAATTATAGTTTTTCAAAACTGTGTCAAAGGAATTTTCAAATTAAACACTATGAATCTTGTTAATTGCAAAGTTTCATTTGGAAAATTTTAATATTTTTTTCTAAATTAAAAATAACTTTCATTAAAAAGCTATATAGAATATGTATATCCTGAATTATTTTAGCTACATTTCCTAATAAGATTAAATAAATGCAATTTACTTCAAATACTTCAGCTATAAAAATGTTCATTGAAAATTACTGAAGTGAGGGTAATTTCTTTTTTAATTTATTATAACTGCTTTGAGAAGCAAGTTCAATGATTTTTTTTCTCTCACTCACTCACTCACACACACACACACACACACACACACACACACACACACTCTTCTGCTCTTATATATTCTTTTTGATATTGATTTGAACCTTATTTCATAAAGGTATATTGGTGATTGTTCTCTTTCAGGGTCTTGCTTGAACCACGGAGAAAAAGCAAAAAAGTTACTTCTCGGGGTATTTTCCCTGGTGCCAGGGTTATACGGGGTGTAGACTGGCAATGGGAAGACCAGGATGGTGGCAGTTGTCGAAGAGGGAAAGTGACAGAAATCCAGGTAAGTTAGGTCTAACTTTTTTTTGTTAGTTTTGAATGTACTTGGACAAGTTTCAAACCATGTTTTAAATCTGTGTTGTATAATCATAAATGTATATTCTGAGCATGCAGTTAATGCTCTGCATGACTGTTGTTTTGTAAAAAATGAAATGTATAATTTTTTTTAATAATAATATACATAGAATATACATAAATTTTTAATTTCATGAAGTAGATGTATTCTGATTGTTTTTAGTGTATTTGCAGTAGATCTGTTAAAAATCAAATTCTTAAAAAAAGTATGTCTTTTGGTGTGTTTAAAAGTGACTTTAGTTAAAGAACAAGTGAAACTATCATGTCATAAAAAAGGTTCTGTATTGATATGACATTGTGACATAAAAAAGATTCTATATTGATATAATATTGTGTTTTTTATCTTTCTTGTCAGGATTGGAGTGCAGCAAGTCCACGGAGTGCTGCTTATGTTTTATGGGATAATGGTGCTAAGAATCTCTACAGAGTTGGATTTGAAGGAATGGTTTGTCTTTTTTTTTTTTTTTTTACTTTCTATTTTCTCAAAAAACTCTCCTTTTAAGCTCTTTAATGGCAGTTTGTTAATATTGTCAACCATAACCAGATATTGCTCTGGTAAGGGCTTCAATTTAGTTTTCTTTTTTCTTATGAAAATTCAGTTTTTCTCAATGACTTTTGACAAACATGAAGTGAAACTAATTTTTGAAGTTGGTTAATGAACATAGAGTATAAAAAGCTGTCTTAAATTTTTCATTGGTAGGTAAATTAGTTGATTTTTGATTTAGGAATCATTGTGTATGTAGACAAAGAGAAAAGATATTTTCTATTCTGTTGTAAATCAGAATATTAAAATTCTCATACAGAAACCATATATCAAGACATTGTGGAGGGGCGGGATTCTAAATGAGAAATATGGTTTCATTTATTTCGACCCATGAAAGTCTGATGAAAATATTTTCAACAGCTGTGAATGAGCAGTGATGATTCTTTATTGTCATATTTATTATATTTTTTAAAATAAAAATTATTTAAAAAAAAATTAAATTCTTTGTTATTCTACTCAGATATTTTTTAAGCATTATCAAATAAGTGTTTTATTAATTTAGAAATTTAAAAACTGTCAACACCTACAGCATATAAACAAATATCTCATCAATGTTAAGCTATTATCACTAGTCTCTACCTTATATGATTTATTAATAACATAGAGACAATTCAAACAATTTATATATAATGTGTTATGGTAGAGCCTTATTAATTAATTGTAATATAATCAGGATATTTAATTCAGTATAGTGGTGGTTTGGTAATTTGGGAGTTATGATACAAGCTAAAACCATCAGACTTAAATTTATGTCTTGTCTGAACTTCACCTTATCCACTGGGACATAGTATATCTAATTATTGTTCTCTGGCTTGTTATATGCGCTTCTTTCTAAAAGTTCATGAATGTATATAACTAGTCAGAGAATTTTGAATTGTAAATTATTACAGATTTCTGAATTAAAATGCCAAATTTTTTTTTTTTTTTTTTTTTTTTTTTACCATTATAAAAACTTTTGTAAATTGTGCTTTCATGATTGCTAATGCCAGATATTTTTGTTTAGTTCTATATAAAAATCTGTCTCCTTTAACCTTTTTTTTTTTTTTTTTTTTTTTTAATTCCATGTTTTTTGAATATGAAGTTGCTCTCTTCTAAAAAAAATCTTTCAATATTGTTTGTTTCAGGCTGATTTAAAAGTAATAAATGATGCAAAGGGAGGCTCTTTTTATCGAGACCACTTGCCATTACTAGGTGAGTTTCTTAGCTTTTTTTTTTATTTTATTTTTATTTGCTATTTATTTGCTTTTATTTTTGGAGAAAAGTTGTTGAACTTGACAGAAAAATGTTTTTGAGCAGTGAAAATGTTCATTTAGTCTAAGTAAAAATGACAATTTTTTTTTTAATTTATTTATTTATTTACATTAATTTTATCATTTTTGTTCCATTTTCTCTGTCATTTTCAGACAACTTCATAATCCCATTGTCCCAAACTATATACTCAGTTAATTCCTTTTCTTTCATAAAAACTGTAATAAAAAGGAAGTTGAAGGTATAATGTGCTTTGAATATGGTGGGTAAATGAAAACTTTCCATTCTAGGATTATCCTGATGAAATATTATAATCTTCCTCTTTAGGATTAATCCAACATTGCTTTTGGTACACTTAACAGTGTTTTATTTTGCTAACACCCATGCATTCAGTATTATAAAATATTAATGCATGCTTGTCACAATTTGTTTAAAAGATTGATTTTAGTTAGTGAATTGCACATGGAAATACAGTCTTATAGTTTGTTCTTTCATTCAATTTATATAGAAGCCATACATGAACATAATAAAACTGGTGATTTTTTCAAGTATTTGATTTAGATCAATTGAAAATATTAAATATCTTCAACATTCTGACACTTTAATCCTGTTTAATTTAGTTATTGGGGTAAAGTCAATTGAGAAAATGTCTTTATAACTTCATTCATTTTTTTCCCTTTTTTCACATAAGCAGTTTATTCTTTTTAGAACTAATAATATACTTGGAAATTTTTATCACCTGATTTTATAAAGCATTACAATAATAAGATGTATCCTATGAAAATACTAGCAGTTGGATGGTAAAAATGAAAGATATTAATACCTTACTACCTGCACTGTTACTGCTGCCGTTACTCATTTTTGTTTCATTTTGTCGATTTGCTATCAAAAATGCAGTACTATTGGCACCATTTTTGATCTTCATGGCTATTGCATGTCAACATCAGTGAGCTGGAAGGTAGCCAGATTCTATAGGGATTTTGCCCAGTGATTGTTATGATTCTGTGGAGAATTCATGTAAAACCCTTGCAGCCATGGCAACTTCTTTGCTGAAAACCAATTTTATGCGTAAACTAACAAAATCTGTTGATATCTAACAATGGGTTTAATGATAGTGGATTGAAGAATTTAAAGGTATATAAGGAGTAAAGAATTATTAAACTTTCTTTGTAGTCTGCTTAATGTTCTTTCAGCAGAAAAGTTATTCTAGTGGTAATTCATAATAAATTGAGAGACCCCAGAACAGTAACAAAAGCCGGAGGAAGAAGTAAGGATTAAAACTGTACTTTGTCTATCCTGTCATCTAGTCTCTCTCTCTAACCTGCCTGTCTCTGAGTATTGGCTGATTTATATAAGAGCATTTGAGTACTTCAGGCATTGAGCTATTGCATTTTTTTTTTTTCAATTAGATATTCATGACAATTCCTTGTCTAAAAAATAAATAAATTCTCATAGAATGCATTCATTCCAAAGCCCCTAACATTGGACTTGGTATCATATAAATATTTGTAGGGTTTGATTGTATTTTAAATATACATAGCAATAATTCTTTTTTGGAATTTGGGGAATTTTAGAATACCCTGTCCCAGAGCCAACAGAGTAGGTTGAAGATCTAGTCTTACTAAATTTTAATGAATTCTACTTGGTTTATTTCAGGTTCAAATCTTCCTAGATCCTTCTTCAGACTCATTTTATGGCTTCTAATTATTATTTTTAATTTTTTCTTTTTTTCCTTTTTCTCCTTGATGCTTATTTAGTTTCTCACATTATTTAGTTTTTTTCTGCTTCAGATAGTTTTTAGGCATTAAGATGTTGAACCAGGGTTACTACACTGTTATAATATGAGATTTGTGATAGAAGGTGTTTTTAGTTTTGAACTTATATGATATACATTATTAAATCAGCTTGTGACTAAGTGCACCTAATTTAATATTAATTTGACTAAAATTTTTTTTTTTTTTAAGTTTGGAAAAAAAAAAAAAAAAATTGAAAGTTTTTGAAGGCTGAGAATATTGACATGATTGATGCAACTACAGATGTTTTAAAATTTATTTTAGTCAAAGTTAGAAAGTATTGCTTCATCTTGTTGTTTTTTCTTGTTTTTCTTTTGACTCAGGGATGACTGGTGAACATTCACCAGGCTCCCGTGCTGGAGTGGGTGGTTTAACTATCGGTGACCAAGTAAATGTTGACTTGGATTTAGAGATTGTCCAGTCACTGCAGCATGGCCATGGGGGATGGACAGATGGTATGTTTGAGGTGAGTTTTTTTTTTTTTTTTTTTGCTTTACAAATGTCATTTTTTGGGATGGTCTGAAAGTCTTTAAAAATATAAATACCCCTCCCTAACTCCTTTTTTTTTTTACCCTCATGAAGGTTGATTGGTGCCTAGAAACAGGTGTCAGCTGATTTTATAATTAAGTAGAAACTGATATTAGACACAAACCTGCAGAGGTGTATAATGTTCACCTTTCCTGTTTAGGGAATGGGGTCAAAGACAAAATTAAAGGGGTATAAAATCCAAAAGGGAAAGAGAAAAAGGAAAGACTTATATTGAGTGTAAGCTGGTTAAAGTGGGGAAATTAGAAATTAACAGAATAAAGCTATAGATTGGGGAACAAACTCTATCCAACTCGTACTTCAAGGATTATAAGTTTGTGGGCAAAGGTTAGTAAATCTTCAGGCTTAATGTAGCTATATTGATCAAATAATTAGCTGTAACAGGATGATTATGTTCAAACTCCTCCTTGAGGGTGCGTATGTCTATTTTACTAGACTTTGTGGAAAGAGATGAAATATGTATACACTATAAAAATATATTTCTATCTTTTAAGAATGGCTATAAATTCACACTAAGTGAGAAACATAATTTCATTTAGTCATGTAAATTAAAATTAAAATTTAGTTGAATTAATCTCTGACATGATTTTAAAAAATGCATTGTTTAGATTTCTTTGGTATTTGAAGGTCAGATAAATTGTTATAAAAAAAACGATTTCTTGGGAAGAAATCATATTTGTGTTATCCCCCCCATAAAATATAGAAACCTAGGTTGTAAATAGAAATTATTTCCTGTAATTTAAAATAAATTCAGTATTAGTATTTAGAAAATAAATTTACTGTTCTACATTGTATTAATGAATATTAATCAGGAATATCTATCATTGGTTGATTCTTTTAATGGCAGTCTTTTTGAAGTTAAAGGCTAAGTGTAGTATCATAAGGAATATTTACATTTGAAGACACACAGCTATGAGTTTTTCATACCTGACAACTGCTACAAAAGGTGCAACTTGTTTAAATAGAGACATAAAAATATTGTTTAAAAATCACAAAAAAAGTATTCTTTTCCTTTTATATTTTCAAGCAAGCACAGATATAAATTAACATAATAGATACAAATTTGTGCCTGCAAAAAAGTGTGAAAAGGATGTTTTTTCCATTGACACTGCTATTATTTTAACTACCTTCACTCATCAGCAGTGTTTATACTTTTAAAAAGCAATGATTAGAATTGTAATAAAACCTAAACATATGAAAGTGAACTTATACATTCTTTGATCTTGAGACAACAAATATATATAAAATGACAAAAATGTAATTTTAGGGTATGCTATATTTATGGGTAAAAGTGCACAATATCAGTGATAAAGTGTATGTAAATATAAAAGTGGACACTGAGGTCAACACTGAGCCACAACAGTCTCTTTCATGCTTGAACACAATCTTCAGGCCATTTAAAGTGTATATAAAAATAATAATACAAAATATAAATATTTGATGTATTCTTTTCCAGTGTGATCTAGCTCTGTGAAACTATTTTACACATGCTGTCACTTATACAATACATGTATATTTGAATTCTTGTAATCCTCAAAAATGTTGGGATATAGCTAACAAAATTTTTGTCTACCATACTGACATTGTCCAACTTTTGATGACAACAGTCAGTACTCAAAAATAAAAAAAAGAACAAAACCTGAACTTTGGACAGTTAATCAATAATTTTGATTTGGCATAAAATTATCTTATCTAAATGATCTTAGTCAAAAATTAGAAAAATACAATAAAAAAAAAATTAAACTGACCTTGGTTGTATTTAACAGAATTTGATTAAATGAATTCTTGCTTCTTAAATATACCTTTTTAAAATTTTTCTAGGTCAAGTAATTTAGACATTTACTTCCTGTTCTCTTGTGTTGTAATATATTGTCTGGATAAATTTAAATCATTTTGTAATTTTGGTTTGATGAGGCAGATATTAAAAACTTATCTGTTGAGATAAATTTATTAACAAATTCTTTGATGATATGTTAAGTTTTTTTTTCCTTTGATGTATATCATTGCTCTGTATATAAATACATTGAGCTCTCTTAATGGATATATCTTTTTAATATTTTATATTAAAAAGACTTACTTGGATTATCCTTACCACTTATGGATTTGATATATATATAAGAAATATAGTTTTAAGGTATGCTATATTTTTGGAATAAAGTGCTCAATATCAGAGATAGAGCATATATAAATGTAAAAGTGAACATTGAAGTCAACACTCAGAGGCAACAGACTGTTTCATGTTAAATGCAATCATCAGGCCACTGTGGCCTGATGATTGTGTTTAACATGAAACAATCTGTTACCTCTGAGTGTTGACTTCAATGTTCACTTGTGGGGTGTGTGTGTGTCTGTGTCACCTCCTGTAAATATTTTTTTTTTTTTTTTTTTTTTTTTTTGCTTTAATGAATGAATCTGGTGTCTCTTTAGAACTAATTACTCTAAACTTTTTTCCCGAATTATTTAATGAAATAATTTTATTATATTTATTTGTACACTATATGAAGAAATGTTACTTTTTATTCAGTATGTGCTGGACATGTCAAAATGTATTTAATATTTAAAACAATTTATAAAGTTTTTTTTTTTTTTTTTTCCTTTTATTCAGTGTCTTGGAACCACAGGTACAGTGATTGGCATTGATGAGGACCATGATATTGTGGTATCTTATCCAAGTAGCAACAGGTAAGCTGCATATTTATTTATTTTTTTATTTATTTATTTTTTTAACTAATTTGATGACCATAGAAACTACTTTTTTTTTTTTTTTTTTTTTTTTTTTTCAAAACCATACTCTCATTTCCTTCACTTTTCTATGTAATTTTTAAATTGTTGCTAGATGAAAATAATGCTAAATATTTTATGATTTGAAAGAGAAATAACAGTAACATCTTTGAAAAGTATGTGGACTGGTTCACTTGATCATATTATAATTAGATTTGTACATATATCCTCTTTAAACAAGTAGTTTTTCAGTTCATATCTCCAATTTTAAAGTCTGAACTTTTAAAATGTCATTTTGCTGATATAAGACAACTTGAAGAAATTCACCTTGATCATCCATTGGAGACTAGAAAGTGATTTACTCAATTAGAAATTTTAACATTTACTTTTGAATGAATATAATTGACAATTTGTGCAAATAGAAAATATATTTTGTTGTGCATTCAACTTTGAAACAATATCAAAATCATAAAACATATGATAAATTCATTTTAAATTTTAGATTGAAGTAAATTGTATAAAAAGTTAACAATTCTTTAGGAAAAAATAAATTTGTTTTTTTCAATAGTTGAAAATGAAATCCAACCCATATTTGTTCTCTGCTCTTGCTTTTTATAAAAGGTAAAAAGGAAAAGTTTAATAAATTGCTATTTTTTGTTTGTTGTAGGTGGACCTTCAATCCTGCAGTCTTGACCAAAGTAAATGTTTCGTCCAATGCAGCCTCAGCTTCCAGTGAAAGTGCATCAAGCAATTCCCTTTTTGCTGTTGGAGATCTTGTTCAAATCTGCAGTGATGTGGAACGCTTGAAACAGTTGCAAAGAGGACATGGAGAATGGGCTGAAGCAATGCTGCCTGTGAGTTACATCATTACTTTTGCACTCATTCTTAATTCCCTTCTCTATTTAGGGAAATGTGTGGGTGGTGTAATGGATAGTGTCTTCAAGTTTGTTAGATTTACATGTAAATACCATTGGGAAAGTTATAAATCCCTTCTCTTCTCCCAGCTATGGTTTAAATAGTAGGACTTGTATCTGGAAAAAAATCTTTGTTATTCTTAAAAGATTGTTACTTCAATATTCACTTGCAAAAAATTATTTATTCTTACAATCCAAAAAGGTTTTGTCTTTAAATAACCCACAAAGCCATAAAAAAACAAATCAATCAACAATCTTCTCTCTTTCCCTTCCCAACTCCCACTTTTCTTTCTTCAGTTATCTCTAAACATTTTTTTTTAATCAACTTCATATTTTTTTTTTTATAAATATTGATCTGTTTTTTGCATAAAATTTTTAAAGAATAAAATATTAAATTAAAGAAAGCACTGATTTTGTGTTTTCCTTAAAATTATTTGAATTCATTAAAAAGAAGAAAATGATTGCTTAATAACCTATTTTTTTTTTTTAATTCATTATTTGAGTTACTTCACTGTCAGCTGTTTTAAGAAATCATAATTTCTGCATTGTAATGTTAAATATTAACTTGTGCCTAATTTGTGTTAACAACTTTAGCTGAATTAGAACGATAATAAAAAAAAGGAATAATGAATTACTATTGGACTCTAAAATAATTTGTTCTTTACTCAATTTTTTTTTTTCTTACATTTTGATTTTGCTTAAAGTGTGTTGTTAAACTGTTGAAATATTTCAGAAATATCAGTGTCACATCCCGAATCTATCAAAAGGAATTTGCTTGAAGAATTTATCTGAATCAACACATTATCAACATAATTCCATGTTTTGTTTAGCATTAATTCATGCTCTCTAGAGACAGAAGAATATCAATATTTTTTTAATATTATTTTTAAAAGTGGTTTCAGTCCTTTTGAACAGTGTCCTTTCATTTTATTTTATTAATGGGACTTTCCCAGTGGGCGTTTACCAATTTCCTTCACCTCCTCACAATAGAAGCTTATAGTAAATGGAAAATGATAAATACCTCTTATTGGGGAAAGGCCAGTAACAAGGTTCTGGAAGTACTCTGTCTGCAGGAATTCTACCCTAGAATCATCTATTAATCATTTGTCTTTCAGACACTTGGCAAGGTTGGCTGTGTGCAACAAATCTACCATGACAGTGATTTGAAAGTGGAAGTTTGTAGCACGTGCTGGACTTACAATCCATCAGCTGTCACCAAAGTTGCCTCTGCAGATGGAACTGCAGTGACCCATTCATCAGGAGGTGAGATTTTGCTCAGAATTTTAGTTTCCATCAAGTTCAATGGAAAAAATTGACTAGCATAGAAATTTTGAATGAGTTTATTTCTGTTTTACTCTTTTAATCCCTAAGTAGAAGTACTAGTAGATTAGATGAATTCTAAGAACAGTAAGTGGTCATAAAAGTAAATGCTTATCTGCATACATATCAAAGCAAAAGGGCTCTGTAAATGTTAATTTAAAAGAAAATAATCTTTATATTCCACACTATAAACTGATAAGGTTTTTCCAGATTTTGCTTTCTAGGCAAGTCTAACATCCTTACTAGAAGAGCTATCCATTTAGCAACAGGCTTTTAAAAAACATTGTTGTAGTATTTCCAAAAATGACCACTAGGGTGATGGAAATGGCATCATTTGGTTGTAAAACATTTTCTTTCTTTTTTTTTTTTTCTCCCCCCCCCCATGAGCAGATAACACAAATTTACAGGTTATAAGAAATGTCACATTTTTCTGTACTAAAGAAATTGATCTAAATCAACTATATAAAGTTGGTTCTCTCAAATCTGTTTTCACTCTGATCAACACTCAAAAGTTTAGATGAAATATATAAGTTACTTTGAAGGTTTGCAATAAAATTCTTAATTTAAAAAATCTATAGGTAATGGGTTTTCTATAAAGCTTTCTTGATAAGTAATGACTGTTTTATTGGCTAAATTACTTTTAATTACACTTATTATTTAGTGATTGGCTGTTTTTTCTCTCTTTATTAGTTAGTTACTTAACCTTGATTACTTTACATCTGGAGCTGGCAAATTATCACATTCAGAATAAAGCTAATAATAATTGCAAATGTTTATTAGCATAGGTAGAATTTTAGATTTTGTAATTGCATTTGATAACTGGTTGGATAGATTTTGGTAAATCTATGTTAATATTTTGACATAACTTTACTGTATTTTCTCTTTTGCATTTTCAGAAAGACTGAGTGCTCTTTTAAAAAAATTGTTTGAGACGCATGTTTCAGGAGATGTGAATGAAGAACTTGTGAAAGCAGCTGCCAATGGAGATGCTAGCAAGGTTGAAGAAATTCTGCAACGTCCAGAAGCCGAGGTGAAAACAACTTTCATACTCATCAATTTCCAAGCTAAAAAATCACAAACCTTTTTTACAATAAATAATCTTAAATGAGACATTCAGAAAATAGTGTTTTTTTTTTTTTTTTTTTTCTTTTAAGTAAATTTATGCTGCATATAAGTTATTCATTATGAAGCAACTCTCTTTCATTCTTTTTGTGTTTAGCCTTATACTGTTATAAGTTAGTTTTATTTAAACTCAGAATAAAACAAAAGTCCTTTATTAAGTATTTGTCAATTTCAGAAAGTCATCTTGTTTTTCCTCCTAGTGGAATCTTATTTTACAATAAGATAATAGCCTGATGGGCTGTATTTATTGCTTACTTTGGTAATTTAGAAATGTGTACAATTGGTTGTTCTTTTTCTTTGTAGGTGAATGGTGTATTTGCTGGTCATACAGCTTTACAAGCAGCTTCACAGAATGGTCACATGGAAGTTATTAAAACATTGATGAAAAATGCTGTCGATCATGAAATTGAGGTAGGATTAAGCTTGTAACTCAGATGCAATTTCATACCTAATTTTAACATGCTGTTCGTATTTATTTAGTTAAGAACACTATAAAAAAAATCTACTATTATGAGATTAAGTTTTTTATGACTTCTAACCACATTTTTGGCTTATCTCACTGGCTGTATCAAGAAACAATTCAATTATTTCCCCCCCCTCCCCTTTTTGTACAATGAGACACTCCAATGTCCTCTAGAGAAACTCAGTCTAGTTATCTGACATAATCTGACAGGTATAGGCCTGTAATTTGAAAAGCTGCTGATGAAAAGTTTCAAGTGTGAGATGTAATTTGTTGGACTTGAATAGTATAAATCAGTTTCACAACACCAATTATAGTTTTAAACTTTGCAATGTATTTTTTAAATATTATTTGAATTTTTAGTAGTAAAAAATAATGTTATGGTAAATTTAAGTAACCAATAAAAATAATCTTTCCTTTTTTTCTCAATTAAAATTACAATATTGTTTATATATAATATGCTGGATATAAGTGATTGAAGGGTCTCTTGTATCAATTTTTATATAATTAAATAATTATCAAATTGATGCACTCATTAAAATAGTTAATGGAGCTATTGCTGCAGTTAGCGGATTATTTTCAAGTATTCAAAACCAGTATACATGTATTCAAGTCATGTAATTGTTGAGCATAGTGGAGTAATGGATAGTTGAGGAATTGGAGAGCCGAGTTTGAATTCCAGTCAAATCCATTACATTCACTTAACGTGCTGATGCCTTTGGGAAAGGTATGAATCCTCTTCTTCTCCCCCCAGCTATGAGTAAATTGCAGGACAGACCAGGCTCTATAACCTTGGATGGCAACTGGTCTACTGCAGAAAAAAATAGCAACCTACTGCAGCAAAAAATCTGCCTCGTCAGTTGTATTGAAAGATACATTATCGCCTATGTGTGTATCCTGCATGGCTCATAACTGACTGAATTTTTGAATTGCATTAATCAAAGACGTAGGGAAAATATGCATTAAGAAAAATTTTAAATTGTTGATATTGAAAACTGCTATGGGTTGAAATATAGAAGCTGTAGGCTATATTGTAAATTTTGTGTATATAAAAATATTAAAGTCCTGAATTTTAATTGTGATTTACAGGAAGAAAAAAAAAATACAATGTAAACTTACATTGATTTGTATGTAAATATTGCATAAAAAAAAATTACTTTTTATTTTTTTTATTTTTTTATTAAATTTGCACTTCTGTTTCAATTTAAAGTTTTAAATAATTTTTCTAATTTTAAGTTTATGATAAATAATTATGAGCTGTAGAAACTAGTTGATTGTTTGCTGATATGGTTTTCCTTGATTGCCTCCCTTTCTAGGACAAAGATGGAGATCGTGCTGTTCACCATGCAGCTTTTGGAGATGAGCCTTCTGTGATTGAATTGCTCCATCGAGGAGGATGTGATTTAAATGCCCGTAACAAAAGGCGACAGACACCTCTGCATATTGGTGTCAATAAGGGTCATATTGGCGTTGTCAAATGTCTCCTTAGCCTTGGATGCCATCCAAGCCTTCAGGTATCTATACTTTTTTTTTTTTTTTTTTTTTAAAGGAGAAAATAGAATAATCTGATATATTAAAATCTGTTGCAATTGCCCTTTTCTCTTTTCAAAAGAGATTTTTTCCCCCCCTTTATCATGTTATATTTAATTCAGCTATTTTGAATTGTGTATTTTATCAACTTTATTTTCAACAGTAAAATTTTTTACAGACATTAGAAAATTGTATTTCTTATTAAATTGTATTAAAGGTTGGCATTCTGCACATATATTACAAACCCATTATTCTTTGAGCAGATAAATCAGCTGCTTTGTTTTAAGCGCGACTTCCAGTCTCATTTGAAGAATAAAGTCAATGTGTGTATTGCCTCAGAGAGTTGTACAGTATCCTGCTTGTCCTTACCTTTCTGTCTACCATTATGGAGTACTAGTAACAAAACTTTATTCAAGGTAACTGATGAAGTACTAGATATGTTCAGTTAATACCTTTCTTTAATGATGACTTCTAACTTGCAGTTTGAAGATCTGCTTGCATTATTTGGATTTTCTAAATATGTTCTCTTGTCCTTATTTACATAACTAACTTTTTGGTCAGTTTATCCACAAACTTAGAATATTCCAGAATTTCTTTCTGGTGTTTTTAAATAAAGAATTGTGTCTTAATTAACATTCTTACTTTTAATTTCTTCATTGATTTTATATTGCTATGCTTTAGTGATGATATTAGCACTTTCTTTATAAGGAAGCATTCAACATTAATTAACTGAGCAACCAGTGCTATGTTTTATTGAAATTCATAAAAAATATTTTTATTAAAACAATTTTTCAGGAAAAAAGGTTTCTCAAGTTTAGTAACTGTTATCGCTCTTTCCAGTATTGTCCTTCCTATCTTTTTGTTCAAAGTAGTGGATTGAGACTCTGTTAAAAGGATATGACCTATACAGTGGTGAAAGTAATGTGCTGTATTTTCAACCACACTGCCTTTAGTCACAAAATGAGGTGAAAACTAGTATGAAGCCAAATTAGATTACAAGAGAGTCTTGTTTGTTATGAAACAATATTAACTTGTCATCTTGTGGAAAACCAACGATCTTTTTAGTTAAATTTATAAACTGTGGGATTAACTCATCACAGTTGAATCTCGGTGCTGTCATAATTATTCTGTTTTATTCTTACATCCCCTATCTTTGTTACATTTAATATTTGGTAACATTTTTTGAATTTCAAACCAAGCCATTATTCAATCAACAGAGATTGACAGTTCCCATTCTGCTGTTTGTTAGGTGATATCTTGTATTGTTAATTTGTTACTTTATCATTGTGACATTGCTTTTATGAGTTCCACTGAACCAGAATATATTCAATTTCACTGCCTATAATTGAACTCCCAGCCACTTGATTAGTTGTAACACTTGATTAAAATTTATATCCACTAGAGTACAATTTGCTGCTGTAATTTTGGCTTATTGAACTTAATGTCTATTCTTTTCTGTGCAAAGGCTCATATATAATGTCCAATTCTATTGTTTTTACGTTTATTGTTTAATGTTTTGATAATTGTCACTGAAGTTGAGCCAAGTGTATATTTATGTAAAGCAATATTGTTGCAAATCCAGTAAGTATAATCAGACAAAATAAGAATAATTGTTAAATAAACACACATTTTTTAAGGTATTTTTCTTCAATTTATTTGGTGCACAGCCGCATTGCAATTAGTAAAAAAAATAAGACAAACATCTGAATTTAATTTTTCATCTAAGAATTTGTTACTGCTAATACAAAATAAAATAAATACTTGAACTTGTTTCAGTTTTGAACCTTACAATTCAACATTTTGATTAAGATAAATTACTGAAAATTTTCTTTTTTTTTTTTTTTTTTTTTTTTTAAAGAATTTTTTATTTTATCTATCTCTCTCTCTCTCTCTCTATTATATTAGAAAAAATTGTAGATTAGTAAAACACAGGAAGAGATCTTTTTTAAAAAAAATCTTTCTCTGTATTTATAATATTAAAATGAAATCTGAAAACAATGTTATCCTTTATTTTGTTTCATTATTTTTTTTGAGTCAGATTTTCTTCCATCACATTTTCAGCCTTCTGAAAATGACTAAAAGCTGCTAAACATACTTTGTAGTTATATGTATTAATTACTAACTGCTTAATTAAAATCAATTATGTATTGAATTTTCTATGATAAGCCTATCTTTATTGAAGTATCTTCATTAGAGTTATATTGATAAGAAAAAACGTTTTTGTATTTGAATTAATATTTTTCAGATTTACCTGAGATTAACTCTTTAAGTGTTCAAACTCTGAAAAATAATTCTTTTAATTTATATAATTTTATTCAAACATTTGATGTTAGCAACTATCACAATTTATTTCTGGAAACATTTGAAAGCGTTTTTTTCATTTTTTCCCCTTTTGATTGAAATACTTCAGTTTTTGAGAATATCAAGCAGACTTTCTTTCTCAAGTTATGTCCCCTTGTCTTTACTACACTACACTGTCTTTTGTTGTATCCAAATTGTGAGATGTTCCCTTTAGAATCTCATTTTTAATAAGGACTAGAAAACTCATTAAAATTTCCCTTGTATAAATGAATTCAAAGTGAATATAGGAGATTATGTTGAGGTTTCAAGTTTTAAATAAAGAAGTGTGTGTATTATTTTTTAAAAATTTCTTGTGAATGGAGAATAGAAAAAAAGAAATTGCTGTTAGTGTCATAATTGTAAGGTTTTCCTGACCTATGCATTTAGGTAAACATATAATTTAGTTTATTAGATAAAATTCATTGCCAGTTATGAAATAAGTGGATATGTGGTTGGTGTAATGAATAGTGGCTCAGAATGAGAAATCAGAGCTGATTTTGAATTCTAATTAGGTTCAACACATTCACTTATGTACAAATACCCTCAAGAAAAATATGAATCCATCTCCTCTTCTCCTAATTATAGGTTAATTAGTAGGAATTATATCTGAAAAAAATCATTATTCTTAAGAAATTGATAATTGATGATTCACCTGCAAAAAAAAACAAAAGAATTATTCTTACAATGCAAAATGTTCCAGCTTTAAACATCTTACAAAGGGTTGATAAGCCATAAAAAACAAATCAATATGAAATAATTTTATTATAAGGAGATGAAGAAATAAATTGACCTACAATGAAGAGAACTTGTTTTTAAAAACATTCTTTTGAGGTAGTGTTTAAAAAGTTCTTTCTCATCTATTTTTTTTTTTTTTTTCATCTTTATATTTTTGTTGGATTTTAAGTGGCAATGTTATTTTTGAATGTAGGATAAAACAAAACCATGAAACACTTTTAGGAAATACTGAGTGTTTTTATAAATTTGATTTATCTTGGTGTCTTTGAAACATTTTCTTTTTATTATAAAATTATTTCTTAAATATGGCTGATTTAAAATGAAAATCAGTAAATGTGAACTGTAAATAAATTAATAAAATATTTGGCTGAAAAGTTTGCTGTTATTTATTCTTGTAAGAAACAAAGAATGAAATAGATTAAAACTAATTTCAAATTTTAACTTGTAAGTTTTTTTTTTTTTTTTTTTTTTTCAATCTTCTTCAAGTGATCTTATTTTTATTTATATATATATGTACATTTAAAAAAAAAAAAAAAAATTATATACAAGTAAAATTCTACTATTTATACTAATGATAAATAAAATCAGAAGATCTTGATCCCTGTGAATACTTACTGATGTACCAAAAACATGCTGTCTTGAAAGCCACCATGTTCAGTCATCACTGGATATTCATACTGGACTTTTATCATTAGTATTAATAGTAATTTTACTGTCATACTAATTATATAAAACTGAGAAAAAAATCTATATATTATATTTGTGTATAAATTCTTATCAACAAAAATATGCCATTGCAAAGTGTCATTTCTATTGGATAATAAAATTGTATATATTTCCTTGGATTTAGAATCTCAGATATTTATTCTGATTTGGATTGGCTGGATGAAATTGATTTTTTTTTTTTTTTTTTTAAATTTTTATTTTCTAATAGCTCTTTTGTTCTGGTTCTTTCAAATGATTATAACTCATTCCAGTATTTGTTGATTTTTTTTTCTTAATGATTCATTCACTGAAAACCTAATAATTTTTTAAAATACTTGGTTTTTATATACAAGTTATTTGCCCTTTTTCAGATAAATTACAAAAAAAAAATCAAAATACTTTGAAGCAAAAAAAAACAAGAAAAAATGTTGAACAGTAATATTGGGTGTTAGAGATTATTTCAAGGAATTTGCTATAACACATTTTTGTTAAAAATGCCAAAATACTCTTTATAAATTTTCCTTAAATAATTCCTCAGGAAATAGCTTACCTAAAAAAAAATGCATAGCACATTGAATTTATTTAAATATTTTTGCAATCTTTTTTTTTTTTTTGTTTTTTTCTTTTTACTGTAAATTTCCACAAAGGATGACTTATAAAAATAGAAAAACATAAAGATTCTAAAATTACTTTGCAAAATTTTATTGGTTTTCATTTTATTTTGAAAGGATATTTTCAGTATCTCTTTTTTTTCTTTTTAAGGTTATCTATTTGATATATTAATTCTAATTCATATTCTTAATATACAACAGTTACTGAAATAAATACTCCAGAAATGCTTCTGATAAAATATTTTCTATTGTCTCTTTTATTTATATAGAATGTGGAATTCTGCTATTAAACTTTAGGCAATTCTATCTTCTACCATAAATATCTTAGGAATGTCATATAGCTTCATAAAATATTGCAGGTTGCTCATATTTAAAATTGAATTTACTGTTATAGTAATCTGTATGTGTGTATGACAATTCACTGAGAAAAAATCAAGTTTGACACAGGGTCATTATTGGAGTGTCAGGTGAAAAAGAACCTGTTTTTGTATATTTTACATGCTATCACAAATGTTCTGTGATGGGATAAGATCACAACTTGAAAAATATTATGATGGACAAGTGACAAAGTTGCTCATCCTTATAACATTTTT